AATTTTATTTTCCGGAAATAAGTGAAAAAATGCTTTTAACCTTTCTGTTGTTTCTGAATGTTCTGCCACTTATAAAACTGATCGAAACATTTGTAAATCTATATAGAATAAATCGGGTGGGTATTTAGAATATGGAAGGTCTTCTCAACCAAAACATCTCTTTTTTTGTTTGGTGGGGGAAGTATTTTTGCAGCGTATTCACTTGCATTGCTATTGAGGAGAATAAAACCATTTTTGTTTACCAAGGATATTATTCCCTGTAAATATTCGTTTAAACGATCAAATTGACAATAAGCATATGTAGTCATGGTTCTTTCAAGTACCACTAGATCGTAATGGACGTCAATTTTCATATTCCGTTAGACTCAAAGCAAGCATTTCAGTGGACGGAATCCTAGTTTTTGTTATTGGCAGTGGTTTCACATTTTGTGATAACCAGTGTCTTTACTTTGGACATACAAAACCCATTTTCATCACCTATAACAATGCTGTGCAAAAATTAAATCTTGACATACCTACTTAACGTATTACTGTAAATGGTAGGATGTTATATTTTGTGAAAGCTCAGTAGAAATTCAAATATCCCTATATGCAAGTTTTTATAAACTCGCTTGAAATGGCACATTAATTTTTGCGCTAAATCATCGTGCTTTGACGTAGATGAAATTCAATAGATCCTTTCAAGGACTCTTCATTCGGAATCATCTGCCAGAGGGAAGCTCGGTGTAGTTGTTACAATCTCTTTTTTATAAGCCTTTTAAACTATGGCTTTCATATAAGAGGATATACTCTCTCCATATGCCATGTACAAATGATTTCAAATGTCTCAGTAACTGTACTACACTTTCGAAATTTATACGGTAAGCAATGACGAATATTTATAATTCTACATGGGGTTAATCTCTAAGGTGAGCTATAAATGAAACTTTTATCGGATTCCTATGATAAACTACATTTAGACGTAGATTCATATAATTTCAACTTCAATACTTCCTTGATTGATTGGCTAATAACTTATAGCGGTGAGATACAAAACTACCTTCCGAATAATCAAATATATTTACTTCATTATCTGTCCATATTTCTGAGATGAAGTATTATGTGCATTATTTACATTATTCGGACTATTGTCCTCATCTTTGTCGCCATATTTATTAGAACGTTTCGGCCGTTGTACGCTCCGGCCTTCTTCAGGCGGTTGGAATGTCGAACTGAACCCTTTATTTCAATGACACATGGTACAGTGGATAAAGGCGTTAGTTAGATCCAGTGAAAGGACCCAAAAAGTGTGAGTTCAATACCCGGTTAAGGTAGAGGAGAACATTCAGATGAGAATTAACAGGTGATAATTGATAACTGAGATCCATTAAGCTTGGCACGTGGAACTAGAACAGTCTACCCCGGTGATCGAAATAAAGGGTTCAGTTCGAAATTCCAACCACCTGAAGAAGGCCGGAGCGTACAACGGCCGAAACGTTGTAATAAATATAGCGACAAAGATGACAATAGTCCGTATAATGTAAGTAATGTATATTTACTTCATTTTGATACCTTAGATCCAGTGAGAGGACCCAAAGAGTGTGAGTTCAATACCCGGTTAAGGCAGTGGAGAACATTCAGATGGGAATTAACAGGAGATAACTGATAACTGACATCCATTAAACATGGCACGTGGAACTAGAACAGTCTACCCAGTGAGCGAAATAAAGGGTTCAGTTCGACATTCCAACCACCTAAAGAAGGCCGGAGCGTAAAACGGCCGAAACGTTGTAACAAATATGGCGACAAAGATGAGGACAATAGTCCGAATAATATAAGTAATGTCTATTTACTTCATTTTGATACCAGTTTCCATATTCTGTCTGTTCTAAATCTTTTTTCTATGATTGAACACCTTATCAATCGACACTAATTTTGAAAATAAATAAGATTATTTTAGTTTGATAAGAGTTTAATTTCAAACTACTCCAATCAATACTGGAAAGAGCGATAACAACTATCAAGCGCGAGAAACATATTTTTTTCCGAAAAATTGTTTCAAATGAAAGATTTTATAAATTTCAAGCGAGATCACTACTCACTGTTCGGTCAACGAATGCCAAATATTTCTTCATATGTAAACGGCTAATATAACTATTATCAACTGATCTAAAAACTTTCTAATCAATCAATGTACGTTTATGTTACAGCATATAACGCTTGTTTTCGAGCGAGGTTCGAATTGGTGTAGATAGTTAGGACTATCGGTCGCTTCACATGACTTCCCCGTTTTTTGATCAGAAGTAGCGCTCTGCCTTTCGTGTTTTTTTTTTGTTTAGGATTGGGTTTCCGATTCCTGCTAAAGTTTTATCGTTCGTTTTCACTCCTCGTAAACTCCTTGCGTCTTAGTAGAATTATCGCCTTGCACGGGGTGAAATGATTTAAAAAAAAAAGCGTAAAAGCGTCGTTGCTGATGTAGCATTCTTTACTTGAGACGGCAAAAAAGACGCTCGATTTTGACCTGCTCGCTGAACTTCCGCCAATAGAAAAAAATATTTTCTCTTATTTTACACTACGATGACTTTGGTTTCACTCAGAAACCATTAACAGAGTTTGTTTTTGTTAAGACTGAGCGAAATAAACTGACTATTAATAAAACAAAAAAGGTATTCTACCTGATTGGTTTTAGCTTTCTTTTAAGTACTTTTTTATTTATTTATTCTAGAGTAAAAAATAAAGATTTCTCTAAAAGTGCTCAGAAATTCGATGGCTTGGTTATTTCACAAATTTTTCACGTCCTGCCACAGATGAAATGTCGGAAATGCAAGGAGATGAATTGGCTATTTTTTTATACCGGAACGTACCTATTTCTATTGTAAATAGACTCTCCCACAGATAATAAGTAGTAGTAGTAGCAGTCGCCAGTAGAGCTCACTGAGTTGGTCTGAGTTCAGTCTGAAGTTGGACGACAAGCTGACCGGTTGAACTCTCTGCCGTCGGGCGGGGAGGAACCCGAACAAGGCTACGCCGAAGGTCGGAGTCTCTTTCGGGGAGGTAAAAATTGTTTCAAATGAAAGATTTTATGAATTTCAAGCGAGATCAGTACTCACTGTTCGGTGTATTTACTTTTATTTTACCGTCTTTGTCCAGTATCCTCTTACTACCAAGTTAGTGGTAAGAAGAGAGTGCCTGTGAGAGGAAATCCAAGAAAAAACCTGAATGATGAATGTGCAGTTCCAAAAGTTATGCATGGTGGGGGTTTTGTGATGATGTATCATTATTTACATCGACACTTATAACAGAGGTGATTTCGGAATACACAGTATTGCCTGAAATAGGTGTTTTTGCCCTAAATTGACATGTGATGACCATTATTGATCTGTCATCTATCCCATTTTCATCCTTCAGTCAAGTTCCTCTCCAAAGTTTAGTTTTGTTGGTGGGCATAAAGCGAATATAGGTTGCATTCACATTCCGTGTCTAACAGAAATATTTCCCATTTGTTAGATTAAGATTTAAACTGTTTTATCTTAAAAATGATTAAAGATATCTTACTGGAATTCTCCGAGGTTTTTCTAACATTATTGGACTCTACTTTGGGCAATTAGAATTTATAATTACTCTCCAACCTTAACAGAAGAATCTGGATTTAATCGATCAAAAAAATGAAGTTGATATGTTCATCATTAAATAATCACTGCTAAGGATGGGAAGTTCATGAAGGATTGAAATAAAGTTCATATATATATATATATATATATATATATATATATATATATATATATATTCTAGGATCATTTTCAAAATTATTCAAGATTATCTTCGTCCTATTTAATCTTCTAACTTTCTGTCCTGGAGTAAGAAACTACCTCAAACGTTTCAGGTACGATTTCATTTTCAGGTCTTTTTTTATTGCTCTTTGGACTGTCATAGCTGAAATTCCTCTCTCACATGCCACACGTCTTATGAATTGTTGGATCTTTTCTAATTTATCTCTTTAACTCTAAATTGAAATGATGATCCCTATTCCAGTTCTGACCTTCTGATCCAGTTTCGCTCTCTACTGTTCCATCTTTTTTAAAATTTATTCACCGTTTGTTGATGGTTCTTGAATAGACTTTGAATATGAAAGCCAGAGTATGAATGTTGGTAACATTACTGAAGGTCTGAATGATCATTTTTCTCCTACCTTTGCTCAAAACAAAACGATTTTAGCCTGTTATCTTTCTGTCTGAATAACTCAAAGTGTTTTTAACTGATTCTTATATCTAATGGTGACAAGAAAACCTAGAAAAGAGAGCCATGGCTTTAGTCGCTTTTTAGATATTAAACAGTTTGTAGGAGGGGAAATTATGCTGTTACACGATTTGGACAATTCTGCTGTTAGACTTGATATATATACACACATACATGTATATATATATATATATGATAAAATATATATTTTATTGTGAAATATATGTATGGGTTAAAGTGATAAATATCAGAATGCGTGTGTAATTGTATGTCTGCGTATTTGTGAATGTATGTATGTTTGAGTGCGTATTTATGCGGATGCTTGTCTGTGTGTATTGTTTCTGTTAGTTGTGTACCAGGCTGATTTCCCGTTGACTTAATGACATGTTAAATTTTACTGTTTTAATCTATCTATCTATCTATCTATCTATCTATCTATCTATCTATCTTCATTCTTATCTATCTATCTATCTATCTAGCTAGCTAGCTAGCGAGCTAGCTATCAGTGTCAGTTCATATTCATCTATCTGTGTTGGTTCATATCTATCAGTCTGGCTATCGTCTTCCTATTTGACTCTCTCTCTCTCTCATATATATATATATATATATATATATATATATATATATATATATATATATATATATGCGTGTTTGTGTGAAACAGTATCTATCTATCTATCTATCTATCTCTATCTATCTATCTATCTATCTATCTATCTATCTAAGGATATATATGTATATATATATATGTGTCTGTGTGTGAGTTTATATCTTTATATCTATCTATGTATCTCTCTCTCTCTATCTGTCTACATATGTGTATATCATTTCATATCTATCTATCTATCGATCTGTCTCTCTGTATATCTATCTATCGATCTGTCTGTCTGTCCTCTATCTGTCTATCTCTCTCTCTCTCTCTCATATATATATATATATATATATATATATATATATATATATATATATATAGGTGTTTGTGTGAAACAGTTCATATCTATCTATCTATATATATATATATATATATATATATATATATATATATATATATATATATATATATATATATATGTGTGTGTGTGTGTCTGTGTGTGAGTTCATATCTATATATCTATATCTATCTATCTCTCTCATCTATCTACATATGTGTATATCATTTCATATCTATCTATCTATCTATCTATCTCTCTCTCTCTCTATATATATATATATATATATATATATATATATATTGGGGGAAACA